AGAACAGAACTCGTTGGCAATCCGAAGACTACCTTTACCCTAAAGCCTTCCTAAGGCACCTCCTTCCTGCTCCCCAAGGTCTTTATCTTTCAGTGAAAATCCTCCTGTGCCTTCAAACAGCACCTTGAATTTTAGAGCCCTTGTTTCATTGGATTGCTGTCTCTTTAGCAGCTCTAAAGGTCTTAAGGGTGGAAGATATATGGCCTGGTTCTTATCACATGATGGGTCTGGGATGTTTAATTGAGTAAATAACATTTATTTATGCAAATAGTTCATTTCTGAGCACTTGACTCCTCATTTTCTTGTTTGTTGACTTATGATGATAATTCATTTTGATAAATCATTTGTTATTAGAGTACTCATTATATCCCAAGAAGTTTTTATAACCAACATTAATTTTCATTTTTTAGGTGATTAATAATGTCCCCTGCCTATCTCCTAAAATAAGGCAGATGAAGAGAGGAAAGGACTCAGCTGCATTTTCCTTGTACACCAGAAATTTGCTAGGTGCTTCCACATGTGTATTCTAGGAAAACTTACTGTCGCTTCATTTTAGAGATTAGAAAAATCAAAACACAGCAACATTAAGTAACTTACCAAATGTCAAACACACAGATAAATTAATAAATGCTGATACAGATGGTGTATATACTTCTCCTTTATCCAAAAACATTCAGTCCACATTTACTGAATATATGCATGTAGCATTCATGATGTCTGGCACAGAGGTACAGAGAGGTTTGAGCTTGTCTGTCAATAAGAGAGATAGACAAGTGAGTCACCATTTCCAAAATGGCCTAATTCATGTTATGCAAAAGTCTCTGCATGGTTCTGGAAGAATCTCTGAAGGGATAACCAATTTAACTTAAGTGGCACTCCCACTGGGAAGCCTGTTTTCAACTTCAGTCCTTTACAGCTGAGCCATAGATGATGCATTAAAAAGGTAGAAGAGAGGTGAGAGGGAATTCTAGGCAGAGACACCAGCATTTGCAAGGCATACAGACTTCATTCACTCTTCTTCCATAAAGGGAGTTCATTTTCTCAGCTAGACTTAAAAGTGATGTAAAGATATATAAGAAAGAGCCACTGATTGCCTCTTCTATAATTAAAGGACCCTAGACAGGAATTGTTCATCTCATAATGATAGAGAGATTCTTTTGAGGCCCAAATATAACTAACCTAACATAGTAGATATAACGTAATGGGAAGTATTGACCAGTGTAAATAAGTGGTGGATGTATTTCTTGGGGAAACATGCTTCTTTATGCTTTGATAACCACAGAGAAGTCAGTGATAAAAGACAGAGCCTCTGCCTTCTGGAAGATCAGTCTAGTGAGAGAAACATTTTTGCAAACAAATCCAAAACACACTCTGAGAACCATGGCAGAGATGTAAGCTAGTACAGAAGCATAAAGCCAAGGCACCCACTCACTTGTGTTTAATACCAGAAGTCAGACTTAGTTGTATATTTGTATAGAGATTTGGAAAGCTCTTCTTATAATGCCCACAATATGCCCATCAAGAGAACATTTAGAGTCATTTCTCTCCTTACACTGTTTCTCTTTACTGCTAATGCAACAGTTGGTCTTAATGCACACTGAGAATCACCTAAATCTATAGTTCCTACTGAAATGTCAGTGTATAATAGGACAGGCGTAATGATGCTGTGTGTGTGTGCCTCCCCAAAGTACCTGGTGAAGAGCTGGACCACTAAAACCAGCATCTTTACAGAGATTTAGTGTTGTTTGGCTTCAAAACAAAACAAAACAAAAAAAACCCAAACCCACTGCCATCAAGTCAATTCTGATTCATAGCAAACCTCTTAGTGGGACAGATTAGAACTGCCCCATAGGTTTTCCAAGGCTATACATCTCTGGTGGTGTAGTTTCTAAGGCATTTGACTGCTAACCAGAAGGCTGACGGTTCAAACCCACCAGCCACTCCTCAGAAAGAAGACTGGGAAATCTACTTCTGTAGAGATACAACCTCAGAAACCCAAGGAAGGATTGCTATCAGTCAGATCTGACTCGACAGCAGTGAGTTTGGTTTTTGGTTGAAATCTTTACAGGAGCAGACTGCCTCACATTTCTCCTTGAGAGTGGCTGGAGGGTTTGAACTGCTGACCTTTTGGTTAGTAGGTGAATGCCTTAACCACTCTGCTACCAGACCTCCTTTGTTGAACTTCCGTTCTTATGAAGTCACTAGTGCCACAAAAGCAGTAATTCTTTATAATCTGCAACTATGAGAGGTGTTACTACACCACCAAGAAAAGGAGTAAACACATTAACAAACAAATATTGTAGGAATTACAGTGCTTTCAATTTAATATTTAAAATTAATTTTTGTTATCTTTCTTATTTTACAATGTATGGAAACAGTTTTAGGCAGGTGGGTTGGTTCGCCGTAGAGTAACTTGTAAGAAACAAAGCATTCAGTTTGACTCTTGCCTCTTTTTTGGTAGTTGGTAAGGAATCAAACAAAGGCACTTGAAACAGCTCTTGCCCTTAGAGGTAATCAAAGATCTGAAGAGACAACAACTCTATTGATAAGGGGTCATGAACACATGGAAAGATGCATGTGGACCCAGGGTAATTCTTTTGCCTCCATTGACAGTCACCATGAACCCAGTAGATGAAGTGTGTAAGCTAGTTGCTCACATCGTTTCTGGGAGGCCAGCTTTCTCCTGGAAATAAAATGTCGGAGTCATTCCAAGCAAGAAACTGAGCAGCGGGTAAGATGGGCAGGTGAATAACATGTAACTACCCATAAATACTTTGAAATAACTAGTTTACTGCTGAGCACTCTCTTCCAAGGCTCGTTCTCATCTTTAACGCTCATGACGGTGACGCTGTCAGAGGAGATCATCTCTGGATCCAATCTGGTGACACTATAGTGTAGAAAGATGGAAAGCCTCCATCCCTGGGCCAGCTGCTGGAGCCTTTCTGTGACGGTGGGAGTGTCACTGTCTGCCTGGATTCAGCAGATTCCAACGTCTAGATGCATGCCCTTGTCTATTTAGAGTGTGACGCCCTTACTGTTGTTGTTGTTGTTATGTGCCCTCGAGTCAGCCCTGACTCATAGCGACCCCTCCTTGGGTTTCCGAGGCAGTATCACTACGGAAGTAGGATTGCCCAACCTTCCTTCCGAGGAGTGGCTGGTGGGTTTGAACCGCCAGCCGTCTGGTTAGCAGGCAAGTGTCTTAGCCACTATGCTACCAGAGCTCCTTACTAGGAGAGTCCTTTTTGCTTGAAGAAGAAAGCAGGATTCACTGTTCTGAGGGGAGATTGAATTTCAGGCCATCTATCAATCAGTGAATACTTACTGACAACAATAATAGGGCCTTGAGGAGACTTTTTACCTAAAGATGAAGCGAGACTAAGCTTGCAGGCTCTGAACTTTTAGCCTTGGGAAAATGAGTTCAAATAAAGTTTGGGAATGCCCCTAGGACAATGTGTAATTTACTGATTTCACAGAGCTCACAGATCTGTATACTTTCCTTCCTTTTTCTTTTCTCCCTTCTTCTCTTCTTTCTTTCAACATTTATTTCTTGTCTCTTATATGCCAGGAACCATAACATGAATATAAAGAGTTTAAGACAGAGTTCCTTCAGTAGTTCTCAGTTTGACGTGTCTGCATGTGTGTGCATGCATATTTCATGAAGAGCTGCTTGCTTTCCCATTGGGAAAAACACAAAAATAATTATTTAAAATTATAATAAAAATAATACTTATTAATATTATGGTAAAGTATATTATGGGATTTAAGAATTTTTGCTCCCCCATCTTTGTTGGTAGGAGGAGAGCATTCTACCCGGTGTAACTTGGAAATATTTAATAGAGGAAGTGACTTTTCAATTGTTTCTTAACATAGCAGTAGAAGAGCAGAAGCTGGAGAAGAACGTTTCCAGGGAAGACAGAGTTCACTGCAGCTTACAGCGGGCGGAGGAAGTGAACGTGGCGCTTTTGAGAAATGGCACATCTTTCTGTGTGGCTGAGACAAAGGCTATAGTGGCAGTGGTAGGAGATAAGACAGGCAAAGCAAGATGGATCCTGTGAGAGTAGGGTCTTGGGTACCACACTAAGTCCTGAAGGTGATAAGTATCTTAACCTCTGTATGTTCTAGCAAGAGTTCGATGGTGTGCTGAATGGCTTGGTTGCAAAAGGGACTAGTTTGGAGCCATAATAGTTGACTCCTTTCCCTATCAAAATGGATCCAAGTAAATGAGAATTGTGCAAATCCTGATGGGGGGCGGGGAGTAAAGATGGATCTAAGTTTAATTAATCTCACTGTATAAAAACCCTGAAGACAGAGTATAATTGCCCGGGATGTTTATGAAACAGCATAATTATTTTCTATTTATTATGGCTCACTGCAAGACTACACTAAATAATATGTGCCTTCAAGGCATTTAAATTAGGGTTTTGTTTTATTTACACAGAAGGCACACATCATGAAGTGAGGCATACCTACCCTTTTCTCCTCACTGGTTCACCAAAATGGAGAATGGTCACTCTGTGCTGCAGTTATTGATGGACTGGTTGTATCACTTGGTTTGCTATCAGGGAGCAATGGGTAGTTCTGAAAATATCAAAGGGAAGAATTCATTAAATCAATCTGCTATGTAAATTACTGCTCATGTCTCCCAGCTATGGCAACAGTGCTGGCATTTGCCTGATAAGTTAAATATACTGTCTGAGGGTTGGTGCAGGAGGACACAAAAGCAATGGATAGGGCTTATTTGCAAGACTGAGCTAATCACCCACAATATTCTTGCCTAAGTTATGCTTGACCATCATCAAAGAAAGATTTGATTGTCATTTTTATTTGAAGTATAAATTTTACTGTCAGATTATATGAATAAATACAACAGGTACATCCTAAAGTTTATGGCTTCAGAATCTGGTGGGCACTGATAGTCTCTTGGTTTCTTTAAGACACGTGATGTCCATTCACGTTAACATTCCTTTTCATGTTTCTCTATTTATTTATCTATTTTTAAGGTCTGTGATGGGGTCGAACAAGGAGCCAGACCTTGTGCATCTCGAGGCCAGAACTGTGGATGGCCGTAAGTAAATCAGCTGTGCCATGATTTCAAAGTAAGATTAGGTCTGTCAGTCTGTCGGGAACCCGGTTTGTGTTTGGGGCAGTTATGGTGGCAGTAATCCAAGTTATTCAGAGATGAAGACTTTTCATATTCTTACAATTCAGAATTGTCATGATAGCTGTAGTGTTTCATTAAAGCTGAACACACCCATAGAGTCAGTCCTCACTGTTCATGGAATCTGTATTTGTGAATTTGGTTACTTGTTAAAATTTATTTGCAACTCCAAAATCAGTACTGCCTTTAGTGGACCTGTGTATGCACAAAACAGCAAAACGTATAGTTGCTCACTATGCACTTTCCTAGCTGAGTTGCTGAGTTTGACCCGGTCTGTTGCAATATTCACTAATTCAATGTTTGCAGAGACTTTATGCAATGTAACTATTGCAGAGAGCAAGAACTGAACATGTGTGGTTAGATAGTGATGCCATTAGCATGGCCCTCTCAGCCAGTCAAAGTGCTCTTCATTGTAGATCAAGGGGAAATTCCAAAATCCCTCATTCCTAAAGAGTTTTGTTGCTGTTTTTGGTATTGCTGTTGCTTTGTTTCAAGTTGGTTTTCCAGTCTCCTTATTTTATCAGATACCATCCAGAGATTGCCTTCCTGTCCCTTCAAGGGGTTCAGAAAATACTTTGAAAGAAGAGGAGGAAAAAGAATCCTCCTGTGTGTTCAGCAGGAGGGGGAAGTCAGTCCCCTGCTTGGCCCCTGGTCTTTGGTTGCTCTTGACAACCTTAGGTGGGCTGCAAGGAAAGTCTGGATTTCATGGAGACTGTGACTTAGAGACATGATATAGAGGAGAATGAGTCTCAGATGCAGAATTAAAAATCATGTCTCATTGACTCAGCAGCCCACTTGCAGATGGTTTGACCTGGAAAAAGCTACCTAAACTCTTGACACCTGTTTCTTCATTTGTTAACTAAATAAACAAACAATAATTTTCTGTAGCAACTCATAGTTACTGTAGCAGCATTGTACTGAGTACTTGATGTGCATTATGACAATTACTCCTCATGACAGCTTGGTAGGCTGTTATTCCCATGTTACAGATGAGGAAAGCAAGACAGAAGTTCAGGTCACAGATCTATGGTTACATGGTAAATAAGTGTTAGCATAGTGGTTAAGACACTTGCCTGCTAACCAGACGGCTGGTGGTTCAAACCCACCAGCCACTCCTCGGAAGGAAGGTTGGGCAATCCTACTTCCATAGTGACACTGCCTTGGAAACCCAAGGAGGGGTCGCTATGTCGGGTTTGACTTGACGGCACATAACAACAACAACAACAAGTAGTGTCTACATCACAAAGCCCACCTGATGCATATGAATCACTGCTTACAGTACCTGACCTGTAAAATAATATTTTAAACAACAATGACAAGGTCAGTTTCTTTCTCCTTTGGTCCTGAGAATCTCCAGCAGGGCTAGGCAGCTAGGGGATGCAATTAGACCTAAGAGAGGGCATTATAGAGATAAAAGAAAAAGAGAAAAGAGGAGCAAATCGAAGAAGAGGGATGAGGGGGACAAAAGAGAAGGAGAAATAGAGAAGGTCAAGTGTAGAGGAGAGGAAGAGAATGGACCAGTGCAGTCAGCATAGAGCAATGAGCCTGTTGGAGGGTTACCCAGTGCCAAGCATTGAATTTCTGAGACATCCCCTATTTTAAAAATACCCTTCACAATGCAGACACATCCCCACAGCATGCCCTCAGCTCTCCTGAATGGAAAAGCAGCAGATATTTGTACTTCAACAGCTTAAAACCAAAAGAAGCAGGTCTTGCCTACAACTCGTACTCCAGAAATCCCACTTTCTCCACTACTGTGCGCACACCTTGAGGTTTTTTTTTTTTTTTTTTTTTTTTTTTTATCTTTAGTGAATTTACTTCCCCTTTGGGGAATGAACATAATCTTTGGCAGTCAGTGTGGGACAGATCAGAGTTCAAGTTGCCCATCACCATCTTCCTCTCTAAACCTGGGCATGGCTGCCTGTGACAGAATAAGCTCATGAGTTTAGTGACCTTCTCCCACCTCTTCAGTGGCCTCTTTCTGACCCTAACCTTTCCTTGGCCCTGGAGCAGATGATGTTATCTTGGATTCCAACAGCCAGAGCAATCTTTTCCTAAGGCAAAACGAATATTGTCACCTGTTTAAAATGTATGCTTACTTCTCATTGCTTTGATGATAAAGACCAAAAGTCCCATCTTGTCCTATACCTCCAGCAAAATCTGCTGCCCACCCATTGCTTTAGCCTAATCTCATTATCTCTTCCCCTCACTGTGCCTTCAGGCTACAGGACTATTTTAATTCTTGAAACAGAGTTTGTCCTCCTGTAAGACTGATTCCTGCTGTTTCCTCTGCCTGGAGCACCCTCTCTACTTCCACCTTCCCTGACCATTACTGTAGATGGTTCAAACCTCAGGTTTCTTAGGGAAGACTTTTTTGAACTCCCAATCCAGATTTGTTTGTTTGCCGTCATCGAACTCTGTTCTTGTACTTCATTGCATTCATCTCAGTTTAAAATATTCCATTCCGTTTGCAGTTATTTGATTGCAACGTTTCCTTGCAACCAGTCTCTAGGTTCTATGAGAGCAGGGACCCTGTCTATCTTTGTTCGATATTGTATCTCCAGTACATGCCACAGCGTCCACATGTAGGTGGAGCGTAATGAATATTTATGTAATGAGTGAAGCTGTATCTGGCCTGCCGCCAGCTGGCTGCCTGACCTCCCTAATCAGGTGGCCTGGGTGTTTTGGAGCAGCGCCTTTCAAGCTCTAATGCGCCCGTGACCCACCTAACGACCTTGTTAGGATCTGGATGCTGATTCAGCAGGGCCCTAGATTCTACATTCCTAACAGGCCCCAGGTGGTACTAAGGCTGCCTGTTGCTGGAACATGCTTTGAATAGCAAGGTCCCGTAAGAGAAAACCAGTAAAAGAGCTTTGGGGTCTGTCTCCCATGGGTACACCTCTTGTTTAGAAAGCTTTGGGTAGAATTGGTAGCCTCCCGGATTGCTTTCATTTTCTGGCTTTGGGAGGATAATACTGCTTCTGGCTGTGACATCCGAAGCATATACCCCCATATCCTAAACTGCACAAGGCCGTCACTCTCTCTGATCTTACACCTAGGTTCGTTCCTGTGCTCCCCGAAGGCACAGAGGTTGATAATGCCAAACTGTCATCTCGGGCTCAGCTTTCACAAGGGATGAAATGTTTCTGTTCTAACTTTCTTTATTTTATTTTACTTTTTGCAAAGGCAGCATCTTCAGAAACTATCCAAGGGTGAAAATTCAATAAAGAGATTTAATTTGAGAAGTTTTCACTGTCAAAATAGGGAAAAAGAAAAAGAAAAAAAAAAAACCTACCAATTGAAATAAAGGATCTGAGCATGATGCCTGACCTGAGTGTAAAAAAATGAGATTGTCTTGGTATCATGATAGCTCTTTCCCTCTCCCTCTCCTGAAAGTCAGTAACCGTGGCTCCAAGTTAAAGAAACAGAGAGGAAGAGGGAAGAAAGATCAGAAAGGTCAGAAATGCAAGATGTTAGCCAATGTAGCTGGCAGGATTTGAGAGTGTCTGTATCAAAATCAGGCCCCAGATAGTTGCCCCCACAATTCCAGTATCTGTAGCTCTCTCTCCCTCTCTCAGCACTGCTGTCCTCCTCTTGTTTCTCCACCCCCTCGTTATTGTTAACTGGAACATTTAAATACATGGAACTAACTGTTTATATTCTACGTAATACAGCTCATAAGGAGCTCCTGTGGTGCAGTGCCTAAGGCATTTGACTGCTAACCAGAAGGTTGGCAGTTCAAACTCACCAGCTGTTCTGCAGAAGGAAGATGGAGCAATCTACTTCTGTAAAGATTTACCACCTCAGAAACCCAGTGGGAGTTGCTGTGAGTTGGAATCAACCCAGTGGCAGTGGTTTAGTTTAGAGCATGTGTTAAAATAAGATTTGTGCCTTTGAACAAGAAAATTTTTGAGTTTCATGTGTTGAGGAGTTTTGCAGCCAAGATACTGAGGTACTTGTATAGTTGGCTCAGCCCCAGGAAGTGGGCTGCAAGTGCTTATCTGAGCTTGTTATTCCAAGTTCAGTGTTGGTCTCATTTCAGATGCACCTAGGTACATTTTATAATTAATTTGTGTTTCAATTGAAGTTGCCATTATCTGGGGGAAGATGAGCCCTGGAAAGCTTTTGTTCTGTGAAGGCCCATGACTGGCACAGGCGTTTCTTGACAACCATGCTCTGAAATGTGGATGTCTTGTAGTTTACAACTGTGACAAGCATGTTATTCTTTCCCATATTGCTTCTCTGCCTTGGGAGGCAAACTGAAGAGAACAACCTCAATTACAGTCAATCACTGGAAGTATTATTGGAAAATTTTGAACATATTTATTGGATGTGGCACTCGTTATTGGCCCCTACATTCAAACTGAGGACAAATTGACAGGTCCTCATGCAGGAGACAAAGAGTTTGTTGTTTAAATGCCATGTGTGTGCACACGTGTGTGCATTATAGGTACACGGTACATTTGAAGTGCATGTCTCAATAAAGGGAAACTGGCATTACATTGATTTATCTAACAGGTGCGTATATGTATATATGTATGTAATGATATTTAAGTCTGGCCATCATCTCTATGAGGTTAGACATCTGAATTCAGGGCGCCAGCTCTAGGGGAAGGCTAGCTCTCTTGTCGGCTCTGAGGGGAAGTTTGGTCTCTTTTTAGCTTCTGTTCCTGAGTTCCTTGGAGATACCCGTGTGGTGTGTCATCTTTCCCTCCGTTCATGCTTGCTTGCTTCTGCACCCCTTGGAGATGCTGAGGACATTTTGACTCATAGACCCCATTGTGACAAAGTAGAATGGCCCCTTAGGATTTTCCAGGCTGTCATCTTTACAGGAATAGGTCGTGAGGTCTTGTCTCCTGCAGAGCCACTAGGAGGGTTCAAACAGCCAACCTTTTTAGGTGAGCATC